TGCTGTAACAAGAGAGGAATTCTTTGATGTCATCCACATCCAATTTCTTCTTTAAAAACTTGCAAACATTATACAACATTCTTGTATAAGAAGCTTTTATTGAGCTATACTCCACAAATAAATGTTGAGGGACAGGTACTTGAACTATAAATACTTTCATTAATAGCAGTAATGTAATCAATATTACTTTGAGGTGATAATGGTTGTGAAGATGAATTACTAGTAACTTCAGTATCAGCAGTACTACCTACAAAAGGAAAGGACAATAAATGAACCATTCGTACATGCATTAATGAGATGTAATACACACCAGATTGTGCTGCATTGATTTCATTGGCAGTACTTAAATTATCTATGAATATTAATTAATGTATCATCAATTAATTAATAATTATTACTTTGTGGAACTACATCATGATCTTTAATAGTCTCAGGAACTATACCCACTTCAGAAGTAGGAAAATACTTACCTAAACACATAATAAACAAAAATTGTCATTACTAATAGTTATTAATATGCTGCCTGCATTCATGTTTCCCATCCACGTATAAACATATCACCCGATAATTGAATATATTCATTAACAAAACACATAATTTATAATTAATACTGGCCACCCACATCAGCCTTATCTACCGTAAACATAAAAATTTCCGTGGCGGATAAATTTTCATTTTTTCTATGGGCCACACAGATCCACAAAATTTTAATGCAAGGGTGTGGTGGTTAATTCAATAGGCCACATGGCAGCCATGCATACTTATTACTCGTCTCTTTTTCACACTTCAGCATCTCTCCTTCCCAGATCTCCTTATATACATGGTAGCCCCTAATAACTGAAAAGATAGCGAAGGTAGGCACCTCTGCAGGTGTCGCCATGTCGCCACGTGGTCAATAAATTAATAAGTGGGTAATGCCTACCACGAAATTTTTAATGCACGAAAATTAATTTTTATGGAAAAATTCCAAAAAATTCGAAAATTTAAACCACAAAAATTTTTGCGTTTTCAGTATGTAACAGGAATCAACTAGCAATTTAATTAGTTTGACCCTTGAAAACCCATTTTAAAAGATACAATCAATGATCTGTTACATTATGATACTCACTAATATCATCCAGTATAGCTTGTCCCAGTGATACATTAGTACTTATTGTACACAATACATTAGTAAATGTATGTAAACTGTTGGGATCAGTTTGAACAGCTTCTTTGACAGCAGTTAATAAAGCCTCACGTTGATTAGGAATAGAGGGACTAGCTGACACAACTCTACTAACTGCTTCTTGTGTTAACATACGTTCAGCATAAAGTAACCAAGCAATACTAACAGGATCACAAAGAGACTGAGACAGGACTGTATGATGATTATTAAAAATATTAATAAGAACATGATGTTCTATGATAGAAAATACAATGATTATAGTTACATACAGTTATGGTTGACTCACTTAACTTCTCAGCTACAGCAGTTTCATTCATAGATCGTAGAGCATCTGACAGTGAGTTCAAGTCGGCTCCTCCTCTACTGTCAACATTATCAGCTCTACCTAACCATTGGGAGAGGCACTCTGTCATACAGCGAGGCACATCACCACGATGCTTTGCTTCAATGACGTCCAGTGTATTCTTCCTTAGTCCTAGTCTCAGTCCAAGCTCGTGCCATTTTGTTTCTGGAAAGCCAAATCTCTTTAGCAAATCAAGAACATCAACAAGATCAACACCTACAAAAAAACAAAATGGCTGATTTCACATCAATCATCAACTCAGTGTAGTTGTGTACCTAAACAAATTTGACTAGTGGCCATGAAGAAGCTACCCCAAGGCCAGGTCTGGCCTCAGAACAAGACTAACACTGAACAGCAAAGACCTATATAGCTGCTTAACTTGCTTTACTTTAGGCGGGATCAAAAGTGGCCTTAATCCGGCAAGCTCTGAATTAGTCAAGCCAGTCAAGGAACAGTTTGGGCACGAGTTATTATAAACTTCAGTTTGGCTTTGTTTGGGTCCTTGGGATCTATGTACTATGTTGGATATAGCCGAGTCTAGCCTCAGATTCGTGGTTAAGTTGCGTGGGACAATTTCTTGTGGTTAGTATGGAATTTGTAAATTTCAAAAATTATGCTGTTCAGACAAAAATGGTAGAACAACACAAATTTGGTCAAATAATTCAACAATATCTGATGTCTGACTGTTACTTCAGGCTCTGAATAATTATAGTATAATGGTTATACCGTAGATCGGGAAATTAGTGTGGTAGAAAATTTTTGTGTTTTAAAATTGTGTTGTGATTTAATTTTTACTAAATAAGACTGTGTCATGTTATTAATTTGGCATGTAATTATATGGGTGATCTGATTTTTTTGCGAAATTCTAATTCAGTAAAATTAAAATCACAGTAAAAATTTCCAGATATATAGATGGTATGTGTATTATTTGTAAAAAATGATGGAACCAAGGTGCAGTATTGTGAATTACAGCTTTAATGGTGATCTAACATTATCAAATGTTCTGTTAATATATGGAAATATGTTTGATTTGAACCACTCAAAACTAAACTGAAGATGACCCCCTGGATAACTAAGGAAATGAATTCTTTCTGTCTTGTTAAGATACTGCAGACCAATTAGATCCTGCAATATAAAGCATCAATCACTATTACTTGCTAATAATAACTTACTCTTCTGTATATTTTGCTTTCAAACATTGAATAAGTTTCTACTGACTGATGCTCTTTGTAAAAACCAAACCACTATACAAAAGAAATAATAATAATTCATGTGATGATTACACAATTATGAATTTAGATATGTACCAATATGGGATTTAGCTAATATTCCAATATGCCAATATTAACTAGCCAATACTGGCCGATACCAATACTAATCCAATATTTTCCTTCCTACCTTTTAGGCACTAATTTACACATGTACAATGTGACTTATACACTTCACAATTTAGTATCTTGACTAATTTTTAAGTAGTCTCAGTTATAGAATCATTTTGACATCTTTTCTAGCTCATAATGTCTTAAAATTAATTAATCGACCCTTTATTCTCATGCTTATGACCACGTTTTGCTGTATCTGCAAGATGCATGCAAATAAACTGATAATCGATACTATAAAAACAGGCCAATAAGCCGATATCTGATATGCCAAATTGCCAATCTGATTATCGGTACATCTCTAATTATGATACCTCAGTTTCTTTTGGTTCCACCATCATGTCGTATTCAAACTTGACTAGTACAAAGTTACTAATATTGGAAAATCTTTCTTTATAAGATGGTTTGAAGACCTGAGCATATAAGTACAAGCAGAGACCAAGAAAGAAGGGAAAAGCAATGATAACATAACTAACAACATGATGACATAATCCTCCCTCACTAGTTCTTGATTAATGTCAGATAAAAATTCACAATCAAGAGCATAAGATTCTTCATCATAAGGATCATGCCAGTACTGTGCTTGGACTAAGCTAAACCAAAAAGTGACACCATGTGTATTCATTAATATACTTGTCTTGTATAAATGATAAATATGTTCCCATTCCTAAGAATCTTCTAAACAAATGGCACAATATGCTACTGCTTCCTGGGCAAAACGGAAAACCATAAACCCCATTATGCTGTCCACCCAGTGATATCAAATTGTATATCTTTATAGAGCCACATCTCTGGACTAGTGCACGTCTATAATAAAACAAAATGTCACTAAGTCAGTACATTACAGTATACAGTGGGTAATATTGAGGGCCATAGTTTCCAACAAAGCATGTTTCATGAACTGAATATTACTACAATAGTATACATGCATGTATAATGACTTTTGGAACAACTTTAAAAATTTGTAAAAAATTCAATTTTGAACGGAATCAGCTAAAACTTTCTACATAACAAAAAAACATGTATATACATTTTTAAAAATTATAAAAATGAAGAATTCTCTTCCTTTCATTTTTGGTAAAATTTGGTGAAAAACCCTGTACTATAGTACAGGGACTTAGGCCTGATTTTGGAGTAACTTTAAAAATTCGTAAAAAATTAAATTTGATCAGAATTACCCGAAACTTTCTGCACAAAATAAGTACATGTATATGCATCAGGAAAAATTATAAAAATAAAAAATTCTCTTCTTTTCATTTTTGGCGAAATTTAGCCAAAAACCCTGTACTAGTACAGCCTGTACAGGGACTTTAGTCCCATTTTGAAGCAACTTAAAAAAATTTGTAAAGAACGTTCTACACAATATAAGTACATGCATCATTATACATTAAAAATGGAGAAATCTCTTCTTTTAATTTTGACAAAATTTGGCAGACAATAACTTACAGGAATTGTGATCCCTGGGAGAAACCCATTGCATTGAAACCATTAGCTAACATCTCATCTGATGATAGTAAATCACAAGCTAGTTCAACCTGTTTATTAGAATTGAGAAAGAAACTGTTGTATGAATCCTAACAATAGAAAG